GAGGGGGGGTTCAGTGTGGTGTGAGAATTAGATCTGAATCACTTTTATGGACCTGCTCACAAATAGCTCAGTGTGACTTTAAAACACATCAGAGTTTAAGTTGTTGATCATTGCAGGGAATAAATCAGAACCAAGCTTTTTGAAAAGCCGTCTTGTTTGTTTCTCCCATAGTTGTTGTTATGTCTTGGGGAATACACTTGCATTTGTGTGTATTTTAGCAGTATTGGTTGTGAGCCTTTCTCATCGATGCAGGTTAGCAGGTTGCTGTCAAAGTAAAACAAGATGATGCTAATATCTATAAAGATGATCTGCCTACTTACAGGAGTGAAGAAGCAGGTGAAGAGAAGTAAGTGGTAACATCAGGGGAGTTCTGCTGTGGAGGTGATCCTTCCTGGATCCATCACTGATGTTTGATTGTTGCTGAGGAAACTGAAGCTTGATGTATTTTATTTTTAAACAAATCAAATAATGTAAGTACCCTATTAAAAAGGTAGAGTGAAATAAAGTAGTGTGGCAAAGTCATACTTTGAAGCTTGAGGTGCTGAAGCTGGATTGGATTCAAGCTAGTCTCTATGGGTACTTTGCTTCTGTCCCCATCTCTTTCAACTAGTGGCAGCGCTGAAGGGTGGCATCTCTGGGCCCTTTCAGGCTATGGAAAATAGAAAACTGGTTGGAGCCCCCATTTCCTGCGCTATGGGACAGGGATGAGAGCCCATCAGCTTGGAAGTGGACTCCTCCTATGTGCAGGAGAATTTAAGTGATTTGTGATGAATGCTGCAAGAGTGTTTGCTTTCCTTCAAGGGCAGATCATCTTGATGGCAAGGAAATACACCTTCTCAGGCTGCAATAAGAGCCTGGGTAACAGGTCTGTTGAGGGGGAGGGCAGTTTTATTTGTTAGTGGGATGGAGAATTGTGAGGAGATGATCAAATCCCCAATGTCCATCACACTGTCAGCCACCAGTTGCTGTCCCACAATACAGTATGTTTTTAGTATTCTTCTGTTGTGACTAAACACTGGATTTCTCAGGTCTTGGGCAGCACTGGAGAATGTGCTTGTATCTCTGCTAAAAGAGCCTCTTCCTGCCTTATCTTCAGCCAGTAAATGAATCGGGGTGTTGGGATAGTCCTTGGTGGCTACCTGGTAGGGTCACTGCTGCAGTGACTGCATCTAACACTGCTCCTGTCACTGCTCTAACTAATCCAAAGCCAGAGGAATGAAAGGCATTGGGAGTGTCAGGTTGTAGTGAAGGTTGTGTTTGGGAAGGCAAATTCAAGATGTGATTGTACACACAAGTACTTTCTCCCCATTTTATTGAGTTGAAGTAATTCTCCAAAGTAGAATTGAGAGCTTGTGGTGCGTTGGCATGTGCTCAGATTTAAGTTATGTATTTTGGGATAAGACAGGTGTCATAAATGTGACATTTTTCCTTTTAGAAACTTATGGCTGTATTTAAGAGAACAAATGTGAACTTACTGCCTGTAGTTGTTCTGTTTCTCTGATTCTCTGTGATACTTGATGTCAGCAGATGAATCCTAGAGACCAGATAAAGGCAAGGTATTTTGAGGATGAAGCATCAAAAGTTATGGAGAGCCTGAGTAAATATTTCTCTTGCTTGTATTTACAGACAGCTCTGTTCCTGGAGGATGTCATGGATTGTCCTGTGTGAAAACTTGATGTGTATGTACCTTTTTTTAAAAACATGTCTCTGATCCTGTTTAGCAGGGCTCTTGACAGTAGAAATGAAATGTACTTTAGCAGGGCTCTTGACAGTAGAAATGAAATGAAAAGTACTAAGTAAAGAAACAGCTTATAAAAAGGAGAAGAGAGAAAAGGTATTGCTTTCTATGGAGTATGTAGTAATATTTTTCTTTTTTTTTTTTCCTGGCACGTTGTCCTAAACTTGCTATAGGAAGTAGGAGGAGAGTGAATGTAAGAGAGAGTGAGTAAAAGGAAACGTGAACTGCATATTCTGCAGATAATTCTGACTTCAGTATTTCCCTATGATTTGCTATATCCAGTTTTCTTTATCAATGAACTTTCTGGTGGTTTTCCTTTCCCAGTGTTTCAGCTGAATTCCAGAGAGATGGGAAGAGGTTACAAGCTTCCAAAGTTCTGGGCAAAGTACATGCTTACATTGGTGAGGGCAGTAATAGAGCTCCTGAGCTGTTTCTTCAAAAGAAATGTTGTTGCTGGTTTAACTTACTGGAAGTCACAAAAGTGGCTTATTTCTTGTGTTAGCAAATCTTAGAATCTTAATGCTTTTGCAAAGCTGCCTAAGGTCTAGTGCAATTCTTGGGCTTCCTTTCAGTCTAAAAAAACTTATTTTGGAGGGAGTCTGTGCACTTGCAGATCCTCAAAAGTAAAAAGCAGACATTGCCAAAACTGTTGCTGCCAGAAAGAATTTTTACTTTGTAGTTGTGTTGCTTGTGTTTACAACCATCCAGTGCTTTCTCTCTCCGATGGCTGTTTAGTTGCTGAGTGAAGTAAGTGTGGTTGGAATCTTATATGTGGCCAGTTGTGATCTTACTTAACACTTCTCGCAGTTATTTTGAAAGAAAATGAGATCTCTATGAAACCTGAAATAAAAGGGGCATTATTGCTGGCAGTGCTGCTGGCTGTCAAGTTTAAGGCATGCGGGTTTGGTGTGAAATTGAAGAGCTTGATAGTACTGGAAGCTGTAATGTTTGTTCTGTACAGTCAGTAAATATTTTATCTGAAATGTTAAAACACTGCAACAACAAATGCATAGAGCAACAAGCAACACTGAGCTAAAAGAGCTCTGATCTGAGCTAAAACTCATTTGGAAGAAAGGAAACAGATGTAGCTACCTAGCCACCAACAAAATCAAGTTAAAACTTAGGTGATAAATACATCATACTACAATCTCCCAGCTAATTCAGAAATGTTTGGTGTTTTGCAGAAAGCGCATTTTGAAATTCCTAATGAGGTAAGGAAACAGAAACAAGTTCTGGAGTGAATAAAATATTTTATTTTTTTAACCTCAGTTTCTGGCATTTGAAATGACTTTGGGTGCTTTTGGAACAACTTTTTAACTTCAAATAGATTTGCAACATTATTTTTTGGTGTCTCTTATTTTAAAAAAAATTGAAGATTTTTGGCAAGATGTTCAGCTCTGTTCTAGTGATGTCTCTTGTCACACTCTTTCGGGGGGGAGTGCTCATCTTTCAAGCTGGTTGTGTGCTTATGTACTTTGAATTCAGGTTTTATTGTAGAAATCAGTGAATGGTCAGTTAGCGGTGTGAGTTAATTGATATTTTTGAGATATCGTTATTGGTAATTATTTAATTGCTTTCAGATTGGTTTGCTGTGATGCAGGGTCATGCTTTGGTCCTGCATCATTCCAGGTTGTGCTGTTTTCTTTTCCAGAGCCTGTTAGGTATTTCTGTAATAACTTTTTTTTTTATGTGTAAGCCTGCCCCCAACTTTAACCATTGCTAGGGTCTGGAGTTACGCTTTGCCTTCATGTAACTTCTTTTTTTCCAAACAAATGCAATTCGGCACAGTCAGTTTTGAATATAAACGGTGTTCTGGACAAGGCATACCCTTCCTTATGGTGGCAGTGCTTTAAATTAGAATCAACAGCAAATTACTTGGCCTCTTTCAGGGTAACTTTTTGGTCTTTACACTGCTGTGTGGTATCCTTTTGGTCCAACGCTGGTTAACCTGCCCAGAGTGAGAAGTGTTCTCTTTGGGCCAGGCCGGTACGTGATGAAATAAAGTCTGGTTTGTTCTTTAAGAACACTCTTACTTTGTGCCAGAGTAGATTTAGTAGGTAAAATTCCAATGGAAAATAAATGGTTGATCAAATCAAAACGCAATACAATAATTAGTTCAAAATCCAGACCTGTGTGAACCACCACTGAGCAGACTGCGTTGGCTTTTTGCTGTATAAATGATGTTATCTGCCCCATAGAAAGTGTAGATGTAAAAAGTGTAAACCAGACTGTTTACTGGCTTGCTTAATAGAGAAAATATTGTGGTGTCAGTACTGTTGTTGAAAAGTTATTTATGCCAAGTAAACCCTAATTAGGATTATTCACAGTACAAAGTTGTTTTATTGCTGTAAAATAGGATTTGACTCTTGTGCTGAGAACAATAGAACTCAATCTTGATTTGGAATTTGTAACATTAAAACTTGCTCTCGTTGCCTCTCTCCTCCAGTCCTGTTGTCAGGACAAAATTAAGCGTTGTTAAAATCATAGCCTCTGTCCAAATGCAGAGAAGAAGTCATCTAAGCAACTTTTCTGGTTCTTTCTTACAGCATACTTTGAACAAAGTGCTATAATTTTACACTACTGTCATCCTCAGCATTTCTATTTCTGTACTTTCCTTTAGTGTTCTTGGGGATTTATAACTGCAACTGAAATTCCCCTCAGGCTGAAACCTGGCCCAGAAGCTCTCATTATGAGTGAACCTTGTTTTGCAAAATTAAAAGCAAAGCATCCATCAAGAGGCTTTCTTAAACCTACAGGAAAGCAAAAAAAAAAAAAAAATGTTTATGGTTGCAGATCAATGTTTTTACCCTCTGCAGGAAAAATCCAGCCGACTTTGGAAACCCCTGAGGTGTGGGTGAGCAATCAATAGCAATGGCAGATTCAGTGGAACACTCCTATTACATTTAGAAAATTTTAAATTAAAGTCTTAATTCCCCAATATGCTGAAAATTCATTGCTGAAGTAGAAGTTGCAACAGGGGCCTGCCTCACAAAGGGGCAGTGATAGTTTCAAACTTGTTTCCCTGCCTGAGTGTGGTTGTCTGAGCAGTAGTGTATAGGGAGATGGTTGGGGGGTGATGTGCTTCAGCTGAAGCTAAGTACCTGTAGACCCTCAGCTACCTGGAATCATAGAATTGTTTAGGTTGGAAGGGACATTTAAGATCATCTAGGCCAACCATCAACCTAACTCTGTTGAAAAAACCCATCACTAAACCATGTCTCTAAGCACTATGTCAACCCGTCTTCAGAATACCTCCAGGGATGGGGCCTCAACCACTTCTCTGGGCAGTCTCTTCCAGGGCCTCAACCACTTCTCTGGGCAGCCTCTTCTAGTGCTTAATAACCCCTTTGGTGTAAAATTTTTTCCTGATATCCAATCTGAACCTCCCCTGGTGCAACTTGAGGCCATTTCCTCTTGTCCTGTCGCCTGTGACTTGGGAGAAGAGACTGACCCCCACCTCTCTACACCCTCCTTTCAGGGAGTTGTAGAGAGCAATAAGGTCTCCCCTCAGCCTCCTTTTCTCCAGGCTGAAGAACCCCATCTCCCTCAGCCTCTCCTCACAAGACTTGTTCTCCAGACCGCTCACCAGGTCCATTGCCTTTCTTTGGACCTGCTCCAGCCCATCAATGTCTTTTTTGTGGCGAGGGGCCCAAAACTGGACTCAGCACTCAAGGTGGGACCTCGCCAGTGCCCAGTACAGGGGGATGATCATGTCCCGAGTCCTACTTGCCACGCTGTTCCTGACACAGGCCAGGATGCTGGTGGCCTTCGTGGCCACCTGGGCACATTGCTGGCTCATGTTCAGCCCAGAGTTGACCACCACCCCCAGGTCCTTTTCTGCCAGGCAGCTCCAGCCCCTCTGCCCCCAGCCTGGAGCGCTGCAGAAGGTTGGTGTGACCCAAGTGCAGGATCTGGCACTTGGCCTTGTTGAACCTTGATAAAAGGGAGTTGTCATGTTGAGCTACCTACCCAGTGTCTGCTTGTTTAAAATCCTCTTTGTTTAAAAAAAAAACAAAACCAAAAAAACCAAAAAACAACCAAAACCACAACCCCCTTGCTTTCTGTAGGAATTGAAGCTTTTTGTAATTGTGTAGAAGCAGAAAGGACATTCTGAGCCACGAGCCACTTTCAAATATGGAAGATGGAATAATTTCCTTCGATTAAACATGAATTATAGAAGAATTTCAGAGGAGCTCCGTAACAGTGATTGGATAGCGGAGAGATCCCAAATTAACAATATCATTAATGATGTCATTGTAGGAAAGCCTGATGAAGGTCAGCTTCATTATTCCTGGACCTGACAAGCCCTTTGGCATCTGCACACATTCAGCCCAGTCATAGTATGTATCATTTCATCCCCATGTGGAAGAAGTGAACCTGGGATGAGGAGAGCTGGGTTTTTTGTGGTTTTTAGGAAGGGGCAAAGTATGCAAATGTGTGGGAAACCGTGTAGTTTTTAGTCTTGTGGGCATGCAATAAGCATTCTTTCAGCATAATGCAAAAATAGTCAGTGCTTTCATTAAGATACTTAAAATGCATCATTATAGTTTCCCAAAGCGCTCAAACTGACCCTATATTTGGGGATTATTTCACTTGTTTCTTCCCACAGACCCAGTGACTCTTATAATTCTTTTGGGGTGCATCTATCCTTTGTAGTTAAAATTGAAATATATTTGGTGCTATGCAAAAGAGGTGTTGGACCTGTGCTGGGAAAGCTGATGTGTGAAGTCACAGATGTGGAGGGGTGAAGCCTCTGCTGCCACTAATTATCCACTGCTAAATTGCTTTATTGGGATTGTGCCTGCATAGAATGCCGGGTCTGAAAGACAGTGTTAGGAAAGGCAGAGAACATGTGATTTAGGCTGGCAGTTGAAGTTTTGCATGGAATGAAGTAGGTCTGACCTTGGGGGCTCTTAAGAAGGGGCTTTACGAGGAATGAGG